CCTGACAGAAACCTGTGCAAAACACTACATTTAAATATAATAGACATGATTTGACTGATTTATAAGCCACTTTAACTAGTGAGGTCTGGCACACTAGTTGGTGTTAACATATGGTGAGTTAACATATATGTGGTATTTATATATAATTTATACTATTAATTGTAATGCATTAAGAAAAATATTTTGATAAATGTTATTAGCAGTCAACATTTATGGTAGTTCAATGACATACCTTTCCCTTGCTGTAGTCCCAGAGCTTTAACGTACTGTGAGAAAAAAAAAAAGAAGAAGCATAATTTCATTGTTTGCAGTTTTTCCAAAATTAATATCGTCTCAGAAACTGCACTGAATGGAAAAAATAAACAGTCACTAGAGGGATGAGTTCACTTACTTGTCCAGTGTCGCAGCTAGAATGTACTTTCCATTTGGAGAAAACTTCACAAATGAGACAGGAGGGTTATCATCATCTGGAAATAAAACAGATCAGTTCACCATCAACAACACACTCTCCTAATTTGCATTTAAATTGGCTACATTTATCCAAATTATGCAGCACACACCATCCTGCCATCTGGTACTAGGCCTGTCGCAATATATAATCAATATATCGACTTATCATGCAATATATGTACATGACCTCAATCATTTTTGGTGACGCAATATATCGGCCATTATATTTACTTAAAAATTTATGTCACCATGTTTTTTACATTCCACTTGCGCCTGTGTCTTTTGCAGCTTCTTGTACATAACGTGGTGTAGTCATGAGGTGCTAGTTCAAATTTAAAAAATGCTTCTACAAAAAAAAGTTCCAGCTGCAGATATGGTCTTGTTTAGGGATCTGTGCCTTTGTGCATACGGACATCTGACTGCTAAGTAGTAATTGTGTTTTTCAGCAATAGTGTGAACTAGGGCTGCACGATTAATTGCATTAGATATGCATCTTGTCTCTTGTCAGAAAGCCGGTTCTGTAATCAGCGGTAAATCTCCATCACCTGCGTGCTTTCACATTGAGCAGCATTAACTACACAGAGCCGTTGTTCACTGATGAGCTGCGCAAAAAATCGCGCGAATATGAACGTGGTTTTGCGCAACTCGTCAGTGAACAACGGCTCTGTGATGGAGATTTACCGCTGATTACAGAACCGGCTTTACTGATAAGATGCGCGTTAAATATTGCATGCGATTAATCGTGCAGCCCTAGTGTGAACCCTTAATTTACAGAGAAAAGAAGGTCAGGGAAGAATCTGTAGATGGAAAAATCCCAATACAAGTTATTTTGTTAGAAAATGTTTATTTACTATTTATTCAGGTTTTTTAAAGTCCCCATGAAATCAAAATTAAAGTTTTTTGGGTGTTAGTATCAATATGTTAGTCTTAAGGTTATCTATAAGGCAGTGTGCTCCAAAACAGTGACAAAATTAGCATTTAGAAGATATAATCATTCAAAGCTTGCAGTTCGTCACTTCCGCCAAAACGGCTCAACAATTTTTTTGACGTCACATCGTACTTCAGCTTCTCATCAAACTTTCTGTCCAATCAAATGCTCTCTAGAATCCGAAGCGCCCGCCCCCTACACTATAAAATAGACGCTGAAGCCGCAGCTGAAAATTATACATGTATAATGTATAAATATATGTATATATGTATAAACAGAATGCATTTTCTGTACAGTGAATGGTACATAGTGCACTATATAGGGGACAGGGAACGATTCAAACAGTGTAAATAGCACGGAGCGGATCACATGCGCGAGTCGGCGCAGACCACAAAATGTATCGGAGCTATTTGAATTCTACACAGAAAGCTATATTTTATAGCAATATGGATGAGATTGTGGCTGGCATACCCTGTCAAATGCGGCTTTCAAATTACAGAGCTCAACGGCTCTGAACAGCTCTAGCCCAAGCTGTGATATAAACGAACGCTATTGGCTATTTTAAAAAGGGGCGGGGCTGCTTGATATATCCCGCCCTGTCTTCCTGTTTCAGTTAAAATGACGTCAACACAGAGTAATTGCTGCGTGTTTCGAAGCATTTCAGGGGACCTTTAAGGTATCTAATATTTTGATAGTTAATTTCCATGATCTAAATATTCTTAAAAATGAAAAGTTTGTTGTCATTTGGAAGTGTGTAGGCCTTCTTGCATTATTATGCTGTTACATGATGATTACATATTCAGTGGCATAAAATGGTGTTTAAAATGACAATAATATCGCTTATCGCAATTATTTCTGGGGCAATATATCGCACAACAAAAAGTTGGTATCGTGACAGGCCTATCTGGCACCACAACAAAACTCAAGATTTAAGGCTAAAAGTCCAACTATGATAAGAAAACTTGATATCATGCTCTCCAGCTTCTCTAGTACATACAATAAAGAGAAAACAGTCACATACCTATAAGAGTTTTCAGACATTGTCCCGACGCAGTGTCCCACAATCGGCTGAAATACAGTCCATAGCATTAAGAAAAGCTAAATAATGTAATCATATCAGTCTTAAAGTATCATAAGTGTGAATGGAGGCTGACTTAAAGGTGCTGCAAGTAAATGTTTAGTAATAAAATACCAAAAATGTCTCTTCTAACTGACAGATTTCACTGAAATAAATATCCAATCACAGAATGCGCTATGCCACTCGATCTTTTATGTTTCTGGGTTTGTCAACATTCAGCTAGAAAAAGCTGAAATGGCTTACAGCACTTTTAATAGATGGCACTACTCAACTTACCATAAACCATCATAGCTACTGGATACTATTATAGATCCGTCTCTGTTGAAGTGAACCTGGAAACATTACATTAAACCGACATCAACAAAATCTGCATGCAGACCAACAAAAATATTTTTTATTAATTGATGTTTACCGCTGAGACGGGGTCCGAGTGAGCTGGCAGGGTCTTCAGACACTTCCCAGTTTTGACATCCCAAATCCGTACGCTCTCATCAAACTGTCAACATGAACCACATCACTTGATCACTAAATGACTTATGAGTACAAACACTGTCTCCTATTTATTTTTATTCATTTAAAAAATAATAAATCTGTTTGCTTGCTTACAGATCCAGAAACAACCAGGTTCGACTGTGGGTTGAAGTTACAACAGAAGACATAGTTGCTATGGCCTTTCAGTGTCTTCAGACATCTTCCCTTCAAAAGCATGACAAAAAATTAGGGTACAAAATTCAGAAACCTATATGGATGACACCTACAGCATCAGATAAAATTATTTGACAAATTTTACCGAAGTCATATCCCAGATCTTCAGTGATTTGTCATCTGATGCAGACACCAAAAGATGTGAATCTGAAGACCAGGCCACATCTGATATTCCCTGAAATTACAACATGGGTTGTAAAAGACATCACAGTATGATTAATTGCTGGAACAAGAAGATACTTAAGAATTTTTATACAATAGCATCTCTTTAATACATCTATAATACATTTACAGATTGAGCCTTTAAAGAGTAAATTCACCCAAAAGTAAAATTCTGTCATAATTTACTTTCCATGATGTCTTGCCAAACCCATAAAACATTTGTTTATCTTTAAAACAAAAATAATATTTTTTAATAAAACTGTCCATCCACAGAAAAATTCTGTGCATGTAAAGTCCATTCCACCAAAACGTTTACACTTTAAAAAGTTCAAAAATACATTGTAACAGTAATTAATAGAAAATAAACAATTGCTTTATATGATGTTTAAAGGGGTCATATGATGCGATTTCAAGTTTTCCTTTCTCTTTGAAGTGTTACAAGCTGATTGTGCATAGATAAGATCCCTGAAGGAGAGGCGGGGCATAGAGGACCTACAATAATGTACAGTATTTGAAAAATAATGTTTTTTTTTTAACATTAAAGCATGTCAACATATTCTGTTACACCAAATACACAAAATAATGGTCTTTTAAAAAGCATCATATGACCCCTTTAATTTTGAGTGTTATTTACATATAAACATTGATCAGTAAACATACATAGAACTCATCAACTAGGGTCCATGGCAGATCTTCCTTTACAACGTCTTTGTGAACTTTTTTTTAAGCATGAAAGTTGGTGAAATGCATTTTCAATGGAGGGACAGAAATGTCTGAGGTTTCATTAAAAATGTCTTAGTTTGTGTTTTGCAGATGAACCAATGTCTTATAGGTTTGAAGCAAATTAATGACAGAATTTTCATTTTCCTGTAAATTGACCCTTTAAAGCAGGGGTGTCCAAACTCGGTCCTGGAGGGCCAGTGTCCAGAAGAGTTTAGCTCCAACCCCAATTAAACACACCTGAACCAGATAATCAAGCTCTTACTAGGCATACTAGAAACTTAAAGGCCGGTGTGTTGAGGCAAGTTGGAGCTAAACTCTGCAGGACACCGGCCCTCCAGGACCGAGTTTGGGCACCCCTGCTTTAAAGGAATACTTCACCCAAAAATGTTAATGTTGTTAAGTAAATTTTCAGCAAATGTTCATTTTTTGGTGAACTATTCCTTATATTAAAACTCACAAGTTTATGTCCTGCGAGACTCTTCTCAAATTTTGCATCAAAAGCGCCCCATATTTTGATGAGCTTGTCTGCCGCTGAAAACGAGATTGTCATTTCAAAATCTTCAGACATTGGTTTGCTTTCTGTAGATTCAAATCGAACATTATAAAAAGCACTACTTACATGAACTGGCCAACCATTCACCACTAGGGCTAAATTTGACTGATGATATAGCTTTTGTGTGACCTGCGAGGGTGAACTTCAAGGAGTAGTTTGGCTTCACAGGAGCAGACTTCAGAAAGATGTAAACCACATCAACAGAGGAACAACTTAACTTCTGAATGAAGCTCTGCATTTAAAAAAAAGCAAAGTAACCAAAAGGCAGGCTTTCTACCTTGGAGGATGATGCTGATGCTGAATGTGTCTTATGTGTTTCTATGTCTGGCTTCTTCTCCTCTGATGCCATCACTGCACCTTATGTGGGTCAAATACAGGGGCTCTTAAAAAGAGGAGATCATACAATTGTTAAACAGATTGAAAAGATGTACAGGATCAAACAAATGCCATTTATTTCAACTGTCCATCGTCAAAACAAACTTTTGCACTTGACAGCATTGGAGCGTCACAAAATGCACATGGCCTAAAAGAAAAGTCTCGCTAGAATGACATGGCAGCCAAGCCCGTTACTTCCTCTTACTAAGTCAAATGTGTATCCAGAGCTTTGAATGGTGTCGCGTATATTTTGACAGTCAGACACATATAAATCAGTTACAACAGTAAACATGTTTGTAGTTGCCGCCCTGTCACGCACTTAACGTTAGCAAGGCTAACATACCCAGCACTTGCATTCAGCTCAGGTTTCCATATCACAAAAGAGATGACGCACGAACAAACGAGTAGAAACTTACTGGAGGGTTCCGAAGCAAACTTTTGGTTTCAAACGGTTCGCTCCAAACGACTGTGTTTACAAATTGCTAGAAAAGGCTCTTCGGGGCACTTGCTGAGCCAAATAGAAATTACACGCGCTTCACCGCGCATGTGCAGTGTGTATGACAACTTCAGATGCTTATGATGGTGGCTGCTTTTTCTTTGTTTTATTCGACGAGTATACATTTCTCACAGCTTCGGTTTCTCTGAATAAACTGTGAGCAAAATCTTCAATTTCAATATTTTGCAAGTCATTCTATTCAAAATCCTTCCACTAATGGAAGAGAATGGTGTTCATTTCGATCTGTACACAGCTGATCTGGGATCTGTTTTACTGTTGTTGTTTTTTTAATATGCTGTGTGTTTACTGCTGATCGTTAGTATCGGCTATTATGAGATGGGAAACTTTGCAAACATTATTTATGCAATTTTGTATTTACAAGACTTAGAAATATTATTTACACACATATACACATACATACATACACACACATACATATATATATATACACATATATACATGCATACATACACACATGCCAAGCATTTTACTAGGTGTGCATGTATTTTAGCTAATATGTGATGCATATATATATACACACACATACATACATATATTATACACACACACACATATACACACACACAGAGAAAAACAAGTAGATAGAATAGAAAAAATAGAAAGCTAGTGTTTGTTAGTTTTTTGTTGTTGTTTTTTTTTTTTAAATAAAAAAGAAGATAAATATAGATAAAGTAGAATTAAAATAGAATAGAAAGTGCTAGAGTTAGAGGGTCAAATAAAGGTGACCCTGTAACAAATCTGCAAGGGAAACGCTACCGGAGCCGCTTGGAGTGAAAGTAATAAAATATTAAGCTATATATTAAATTCGTTTCACTGGTGTTGCAAGATAAAACAAGTGCAGCACATTGCCTTTATCGACTGAATTTATTAGATATTATATTAACAACATATACATATAACATATTAATAAAATAATACTAAAACCTACCTCTATCTATCTATCTATCTATCTATCTATCTATCTATCTATCGCCTCATTTTACAATGGAATTACATTCGTAAGTATTGAATAATTGTAAACAGCATGGGTTTGGACGGACAGACAGACGTAGCTAATAAGCAGTTGGTCATCAACCCACACCAAATCCTTTCAAGGTTTTTATACATCTTGACCTGCTGACTGTATATTGTAATCATGTCACTTATTTGTGATAAACAAAAAACAACATTGTATACACGTGAACGTTAAAGGCTGAGCGGCACAGACAGCAACAGCTATTCATTTACACAACAACAACCACAATACCGTGCGACGCAGCGCGCATGCGCACAACACTACCCAACCAGTGTCGACCCCAGCCATCTATTATGCTTCTTCGCAATAAAAGCTACCCGAAAATCTGCAAGGAAAACGCTACCGGAGCCGCTTGGAGTGAAAGTAATAAAGCATAACATGCATATTTACGTTTAGCGCATTCCGATCGAAGTTTATATTCAGTTAAGGTGATGTATATTGGTCTTTTGGGGGGAAAACACAGCTGAATGTAGCTAGCAGGCTCTCCTCTGACAGAGTGGAGCTGATGAGCGGCGCTTTGCAACAATGTAACAAAACCTTCTTTCACGCTCAGTCGTTTCGATCCGTGAACTCAGAGCTTGCTGTAATTGTTTGCGCTGTTTTTTTCTCGTTGTACCAAGCGGAAAAACCGGGCTGGAGGATGTATTGTGGGATGATTTCAAATTAGCCCGCTGAGTGGCTAGCTGGCTGAACGGCATGCACACACAATGGTTGTGTTAAAGACTTGGTGGGGCTCGATCCTCGGCATTCCTCACTCGATGCCCTGTCTCTCCAGTGCCCGCCATCTTTTCAAGAACTTATTTACAGACGCCTGATGCAGTTACTTTAACGCGCGATTGCAAATGCGTTTCCAGTCAAATTTACAGTTCGAGAGCTCCGTTTAAGGGCGCGCAGGGGCGCAATTTGCTAGCTGATGTTTTGGTTTAATTCCGACTAAACCTGCCATTTTTCATGGCCTCTAAGTTAATAGGCAAGCGAAATTTTGTTCGTTTTGTTGTTTTTTAAAACTATTGAAAGTAGTTCGAATGAAGCGCACAAGTTCACAGAATTTTTCTGCCTTTTCCAGGTTTGTTTTTTTAGTCAAACCCCCGATATTGTAGTTGAGACTTTTAACAATTTAAGTTACTGGTGAAGATGCATGTAACTGGAAAATATACAATAAATAACCTAAAAATGATTTAAAATTATTTTCAATGTGTGAGCGATTATAAATAATAATGAATACAACTACTGTTTTTTAACAACATGCACGTGTACTTCCACCATGATAGTGGCCTTGATAAAGTTTTAAATTATATTACAATGTATATTATAGCAATATATTGCAAAATAATATAGCAGTATAATGTGTGGCTTTGTTAATTGATATGATGCTGAAGTTACATTTCGATTGATGCTATATGTCTTTGTTTATATCTTTGGATAAAAGTGTCTGATAAATGACTAAATAAAAAATATGTGTGTGTATATGTATATATAGACATACACAGTGTGTATTATTACAGTGTTTTATTACACACACTCATACATATCTAAATTTTTTCATGTATATTTAATAAGTTATTTCTCTACGTTTATTGGCAGTGTGCTGACACTCAGGTCCTGAGATGGGATGTGCGTGTCGAGGTGGGACTAAGGAGCAGCAAGAGGATCATTGTAACTGAGCTAAGAGACGTACAGACGTCATTCAAGCAACTTCTTCCCCTTAACTGAGCAGTATGTCGGTAGTCACATCCCCTGCCCAGGTGCCTCCACCTGTTGCGAACCCTCCCCTTCCTGAGGTCACGAACCCCAGTAAGCCTGGCCGAAAAACCAACCAGCTACAATATATGCAGAATGTGGTTGTGAAGACTCTATGGAAGCATCAGTTTGCATGGCCCTTTTACACACCTGTGGATGCCATCAAATTGAATCTGCCAGTGAGTAAATTGTTTTTGGCTTCATTTCATAAATATACACTCCATAAATTAGTGTTTCATAAATTTCATGTCATAAATGTACACACTATCGGTTTGGGATAATTGCAATTTTTTATTTTTTTATCATTTTTTTTAATGAAGACAAAGTCTGCATATATTCAGTAAAACAGTAATATTGTGAAATATTATTGCAATTTGAAATAACGGTTTTCTTTTTTGATGTATTTTAAAATTAATTTATTCCTGCTATGGCTAAGCAGAATTTTCAGCTTTACTCCAGTCTTTAGTGTCACATGATCCTTCAGAAATAATTCTAATATGTTGATTTGCTGCTCAAGAAACATTTATTATTATTACCAACATTGAAAACAGTTGTGCTTAATATTTTTGTGGAAACTGCAATACACTAACATTAAAAAAGTTGGGGTAAGATTAAAAAAATAAATAAAAAAATCAGTACATTTTTTTAGCAAGGACACATTAATTGGTCTAAAGTGAGAGTAAACATTTATAACGTTACAAAATATTTATATTTCAAATAAATGCTGTTCTTTTGAACTTTCTACGCATTAAATAATCCTGAAAAAAATGTATCATAGTTTCCACAAAAATATTAAGCAGCAAAAACTACAGCAATTTTAATGATCAGCTTTGTCATCACAGGAATAAATTACATTTTAAAATAGAAAACAGTTATTTTAAGTTGTAATAATATTTCACAATATTGTTGTTTTTGACTTGAAGGTGGGCTAGTGAAATTTCTGTGCTTCTAGTGTTACCAAATGGAATTGCAAAAATATTGGCTGTCTTTAAAAGGGTCCCCCGTCTGCTATTGGTTGGGCAAGCAAATAGTCCTGTCCCAAATTCATGCAGCTAATTGAGTCGGTGTTTTTGAGTCAGAACCTTTTTGTTGTTGTATTGGGATTATCAAAACATTTTTAATAATGTTTACAGTGTTATGCTAATAGATTTAGTATTTGAACATCTAAAAAATGTATACATCACCCATAAATGTTTGTTTTCTTCCACCTAGTGCATTACAGCTTGTCTGTTTTATTATCTTTGTCATGCAGGACTACAATAAAATTATCAAGAATCCAATGGACATGGGAACCATAAAGAAGCGACTTGAGAATAATTACTATTGGACTGCTGGAGAATGCATGCAGGATTTTAACACTATGTTCACAAACTGTTATATCTATAACAAGGTAGATTTAAGTTCTTAATATTTACTTATATTCATATTGGTATAATTTCATTACCAATTTGTTTTATAATGTGTGATTTAAATGAAATTCCCTTGAAATATTGTCCTAGCCCACAGATGACATTGTTCTCATGGCTCAAGCCTTGGAAAAGATTTTCCTCCAAAAGGTAGCTCAGATGCCCCAGGAGGAGGTGGAACTTTTACCCCCACCACCGAAGGGTAAAGCACGGAAACCTGGAGCACCCCCTGCTTCAGGTAACTGTCACGATTAATAAACCTTTGGAGTTACCAGTGACATGCTGCCTGAAGGAGAGATCCCAGCTGACCGTGTCATTATCACATCCAAACAGAAAACCAACAATCAACAGCACTGACTACTGGTTCACCATCCTCGTCATGTCCGAGCTCCCCTCCTCAGCTGGCTCAGACTCCTGTAATAGCTGCGACTCCAGTCTCGACCATCACCTCCAATGTCCAAGCTGTGCCCCCTGCCACGTCCATGATCCCAACTGCACAGCCTGTTGTCAAAGTAAGACCAGTTCAAATTATGTGGAAGCAGCAGGTTTTATTTGCTCTGTCCTTTTCATTGTTTCTGTCAAAGCAGAGTACATTTTGAGGTCATCTGTAGCCAAGAGGGGGAAAAATTGTTTTAGGGATGGATCAATATGACTATTTATTTTTAAATATTTATCTATAAATTATAAAAAATTACCGTATTAAGATCTGTCTGTCTGTCTGTCTGTCTCTGTCTGTCTATCTGTCTGTCTCTGTCTGTGTCTGTCTGTCTGTCTTTCTGTCTCTGTCTGTCTGTCTCTCTGTCTGTCTGTCTGTCGCTCTGTCTGTCTGTCTGTCTGTCTCTGTCTGTCTTTCTGTGTCTGTCTTTCTGTGTCTGTCTGTCTGTCTCTGTCTGTCTGTCTGTGTCTCTATCTATCTGTCTGTCTGTCTGTCTGTCTATCTATCTGTCTATCCATCTATCTATATACACATTTATATAAAAAGTTTTTCTTTACATTATTACACAACAGCAACTGACTATTGTTATTTATTTATTCATTAAATATTTATGTAATTTTTTTCGTTTTTTATTATTAATATTTTTTCTTTTCCTTCCATTTTTTAGCTTTAAATATTTTAGCAGCTAGGCTTTAAAGGGAATGAATTTAGGTGCAACTTCTTTGAGAGGTCTTTAGTTTTCTGACGGCATGCTGTGCTTTAGTGTGTTAACAGTCTAAAAGTAGCTGTAAGATTGTCAGCACACTAAAACCTTCTGAGATGTCACATCTCTAAATTAATCTCCTAAAGCACCTCCGTTTCAGCCATCGAAACAGCTTTTGTAACGATTCACTGCCTTCAGTAATACATTTCACATCGCCTACTATGAGCAATGGTCCCATTATTATGCATAATCTGTTTTTTTTGTGAGGACTATGATAGTTTGTGCAATAAAATTATTTGTAAACTGTTTGTTTGTTCAATAACTGTCTTTTATTCTCTGTAAATCTCTAAAAAAAACATGTCTGATGGGTGTCTGATAAATTTTGACCCTAAACCAGACCACTTATAAAAGGCTTCCTTAAGTGTAGTCTGTCACACACCCTACTGATCGTCTGTTTGTTTTGTTTTTTGTTGTGTTCTAACACATGCCGATCTACTTTTCCTCAGAAGAAAGGGGTGAAGCGGAAAGCAGACACTACCACACCCACAACCTGCGTGATCACTGCCAGCAGAAGTGAGTCACCCACTGCGATGTTGGAGTCCAAACACAGTAAAGTCATTTCCAGACGAGAGAGCACAGGTCGACCCATCAAACCTCCCAAAAAGGACCTGGAAGATGGGGATGTCCAACAACAAGGCAACAAGAAAAGCAAGCTCAATGATCATCTCAAATACTCTGACACTATCCTTAAAGAGATGCTTTCCAAGAAGCATGCGGCCTACGCCTGGCCCTTCTACAAGCCTGTAGATGCAGAGGCCCTCGAGCTGCATGACTATCACGAAATCATCAAGCAACCAATGGACCTCAGCACTGTCAAAGTATGGCACACAATTTCACCTTGTGAAGACAGAAGTTATTTAAGTATATAATAGTAAATGTTCATATGAATCTAATACATTTATTTACATAATTAAGCTATACTACACAAAAAAAAAAGAAAATAATATACTATATTAAATATTCAAAATGACTACATTTATAATAAACTATAACACTAGATCACGATAACAATATAACAATTTTTGTATATAAACTAGTACTATTACACTTCTAGTGATACTGATATAATAAACTTTTCTGTGAATTATTATTTCTGCACACAGTAGTTTGTATTATATTATTTGAATTATTACATATGTACATTACTACATATGTGTGTAGTAATTTTTTAAAAACAAATAATTGTATTTATATAAATAAACTTGCTAAATTAGTTATTAGTTATATAATAAACATTTTATTTATTACACACACACACGTGTATATATATATATATATATATATATATATATATATATACACACACACGTATACACGTTTATATACACACACACGTATACACGTGTATATAAACACACACGTATACACGTGTATATACTATATTAGTAGTCAACATTTGAAGTGGATCAAAAAAGTTCATCAAAGTTGTCCTAAGACAAGAATGCTTTAAGGTTTTAGGACAACTTAGGTTTTGATCCACTTCAAATGTTGACTAGTGTATATATATATATGTATGTATGTATGTTTGTGTGTGTGTATATATATGTGACCCTGCCTGGACCACAAAACCAGTCATAAGGGACAATTTTTTGAAATTGAGATTTATACATTATCTCAAAGCTGAATAAATTAGCTTTCCATTGTTGTATGGTTTGTTAGGATAGGACAATATTTGGCTGAGATACAACTATTTGAAAATCTGGAATATAGTAGGAAATTTATAAAATATCTTTATGGAACATGATGTTTACTTAATATCCTAATGATTTTTGGCATAAAAGAAAAATCAATAATTTTGATCCATACAATGTATTTTTGGCTATTGCCACAAATATACCCCAGTGACTTAAGACTGGTTTTGTGCTCCAGGGTCACATATGGTGATTTCAGGTAAATTGGGGCACTTGAATTGAGAGGAGTGAGAAAAAAATGTCCCAATTAACCTGAATTTACCATATATATATATATATATATACATACCTTATTATAACTAAACTGGGTCTCATACAATGTCTTTTTTTTTTTTTTTTTTCAGAAAAAGATGGATAGTCGAGAATACCAAGACGCCCAAAGTTTTGCAGCAGATATTCGGTTAATGTTCTCAAATTGTTACAAATACAACCCACCCGATCACGAGGTCGTTGCCATGGCAAGAAAACTCCAGGTGCAACGCTTGACAATGAGCCATTGTGCCTTATCATGTGCTTTCAGATCTCATCAATCATATTTGTCCATGTCCTGCAGGATGTGTTTGAGATGAAATTCGCCAAGATGCCCGATGAACCCGCAGAGCCGTCCTCGCCCAGTGCGGTATCAGCCACGGCAGTGGTGAGCAAGAGCACCGGCAGCAGCGAGAGCAGCGCCGACTCTTCCAGCTCCAGCTCCGACTCGGAGGAGGAACGGGCCACTCGGCTGGCTGAGCTGCAGGAACAGGTGAGTGACAAACAGGTGGGTGTCACCACTTGAGGACCAAGATCCAAACCAAGGGTGGAGAGACAGGCAGAGGCCACATCCACTCCCCCTCACATTCACCACCACCTCCTCAGTCTGACTGCTTGTGTCAGAGTCATTTGGACTTTTTTGTTTTTCCTTAATATGTCTCTTGTTTTCGTAATGTTTTGGAAATGAGTGCCCATTTTCACCCTGGACTGAACGTTTAACCCTCTACCGCCTCTGAAGTTTGTGTTGGCATCTTGGTATACATTGGCTTGCATGCTGTCAAACTTCAGATGACCATTTTTAATCTCTCAGTGTCAAACATATTGGTGTCAATTGTAGTAACTCTGCTCTCATCATGACAGTTTGTTGTTAAAATACAATTTTGAGAATGACTATTTTGTCCGTTGATTTCACTTTGGCTTTTTTACCAGCAATTCGCTGTGGAGCACCCCAATGGTAACAGGGCGGGGACAAAAAACGGGTGTGCCAAACATTTTCAGGTGAATTATATTTTTACTTCCCGGTCCCCCACCCCACTAACTCCTTCATTTTCGTAGCTGCTTCTTATGTGAGCGGTAGAGGGTTAAGGTGGTGCTTTATGGGGTGTATTTGACCTGGGCATCTCCCTCAAGTGAGCTTGCTTTGTCACTCAGCTAGTCTTTCGGCTCTGTTTCCCTCTTCTGCTCTGTGAATGACATTGATTGGCATGTTTGTCAGTGAGAATCCAAATTCTTTGCTGGGATGTGGTTTCCAGTGCTTCCAAATGATTACGGTAGAGTCTTTTTCATTCTGTAAATGAGGGTAAATGTTGCAATGAAAACGATTAGAAGTAGAATGGATTTCAAAAATATATATAAAAAAAATAAGATGAGGACCTGATTCTGTTCATTGGTTGTTGATTGGATAGAGGCAGATTTGAATGTGAGCTTGCAGTTGATTGTAAGAAAGTGGACGAAGTGATAGGAGAGGTCACCAGAAAGAAGTCTGAAACACACGGATGAATCATTCAGATCAATAGTTTGCATTTGGAAATAATGGTGAATAAGGGCTGGGTGATATGGCCAAAAATATTATCACAAGATTTTTTTCCCATATCATACAAAATCGATATTTATCACAGTATTCAGGAAATGCTTTCCACATGTTTGTTAGACTTTGAGAATGAATATATGCATAACTTCTTTGCTCACAAATAAACTCAAATAAAATTTAGGGCCCCATGAAATTTTTTTTCCCTAAATTCCGTTTTATTTTTTCTGGATTCTGTGTTTTATGATTTAATACAAATTTATCATCAAAAATGGTGACTTTAAAATGTAATCAAAGTAAAATAAAACAATTTACAATAAAACATTTCATTTTTATTTTTTGTCAAATAAGATGCTGCACAATATAACTGATTGATGAAAAAATTTATTTGTATGATATTTCCTAAAAAAAAATCTTATTTTTATTATTTTGAAAAGTACATTTTAGTATACAATAATATATTTCTGTCATAAATTCAAGTTGAACCAAATTTTTGTTTGTTAGGAAGATCTTGAAATTTATGTGTGTTTGACTTTTTTTTTCTTTTTTTTTTTTTTATGAAACCGTGAAAAGCTTGTGAAGTGACTCTCAGAACAGCTCTGGAAATTAAATTTATGTGTTCATGTCCTCATATATTGAGATGGCAAACACTAAAAAGATGTATTAGCCACATACACTGACTGCCCGTTGTCACATTCTGCTGTGTGATAGACTGTTAGATGAATCCATATCAAGTAAAAATGTCCAAAAATGTGTTATCATCATAATCAATATATCGCCCAGCCCTATGGTGAATTTTCATTTCATTTACTTTAAACTGCTTACATGTGGGTTTTTCAGAAATACTGGACTACTAAATGGAGAAAGATATTGTCTTTGTAGAATTGTTTGATTAATGTGCTGGAATTTTAAAGTAGTTACACATTTTTATGACCATTTTGTTTGCAAAGAATTCAGAAGTTAACAGAATTATGCGAGGCTTGGTAAATGTTTCAAAATAAGAGCCCTCTTTTCTGGGGAGAGTACTTCCATGAAAATGAGAGATATGTAGGTGACAAATGCCATTCATTATCCTTTAAATATTCTTCCCTTCATCACCAGTCCCATCATCTGTCCCCGCACAGCTAAGATCCTAGTCTTTTACGTTAGCATCGATGCAGCATGCCCCATCCCCCTGCTTGCTAACCATTCCCTCCACCTTCCTCCTCAGCTGAAGGCTGTTCATGAACAGCTAGCCGCTCTGTCACAGGGTCCTGTGAGCAAACCAAAGAAAAAGAAAGAGAAGAAGAAAAAAGACAAAGAGAAGGACAAAGACAAAAACAAGGTCAAGGTGGAAGATGACAAAAAGGCCAAGTCCTCACAACCGAACAAGCAAACTCAGCAGAAGAAGACCTCTGCGCGGAAACCCAACAGCACATCCACCACGAGGTTAGCTTGTTTTCTACAGTTGGGATGTTTATAACCAACTGTATGATACATTTGTGATCCCATTTAGTGGTTATGGATTTCGTGATATCTTGAAAGAATGGCAACAGATACTGTATATAATGCTTAAGACTTAAACTACTTCAGTCTGTGTGCATTGAATTTATTTAATACATGAGTTTTACCGTTTGAATTGAATTACTGAAATAAATGAACTTTTCCACGACATTCTAATTTACTGAGATGCACCTGTATATGTTATAATACCAATTATCTAGCCATTCATTGTAATATCAGGCCATATTATACATTCTGTATTTTATTATAGAGGTTTTAGACAACGGGATGTGCAGAAATGCATTTTATTTTGCATCATATTTATTCAGAATCCCTCTAAAATATCTGAAAACTATGGAAGCCTGTTTCCACCTCAGATTAAAAGGGTAACTTGTTGTAATTTCTCATAATTGGGACTTAACACTACCATTCAGGTTTTTTTTGTTTGTTTGTTTTTGTTTTTGAGAGAAGTTTCTTATGATTATGCAAGGCTGCATTTATTTGATCAAAAATACAGTAAAAACACTAATATTTTGAAATACTATCGTAATTTAAAATAACTTTTATATCTTAAAATGAAATGGATTCCTGTGATGGCAAAGCTACATTTTCATTACTCCAGTCTTCACATGATCCTTCAGAAATCATTCTAATATACTGATTTCCTGCTAAAAAAAAAAAAATGTCTGATTATTTTCCATGTTAAAGACAGTTGTGCTCTTAATATATTTTGTGGAAACTGGTAGTTTAATGAATAGAAAGTTAAAAAGAGTAGCATTTATTTGAAATAGATATCCTTTGTAAATGTATTTAATTTTACTTTTGGTCAATTTAATGCATCTTTACTATATGAAAATAACTTCTTTCTAAAAAAAAAAAAAAAAAAAAAAATCTTACAAATTCAAAGTTTTTGAAAGGTAGTGTATATCTTTTGCCATAACTTTATCTCACACAAGTGTGGCTATCTTTCATTATTGCGGAATTATTTCTCTGTCACATTATTTCTTATTTTAGTTTATCTCTCGCTCTGCTGAAAAAAAAAAAACTAGAAAAAGGCTAGAAAACAAGGCAAACACTTGCCAATAGGCCAAGCAGGCAGAATTATTAACCGAAAATATCAGCTGATTATTTGGCCTGCCTTGAGTATGTGGATCAATACCAGTTTTAAGTTATAATATTGAGATATGACATCAGTGTAAGTCAAAGCAATGCAATAACACACAATGTACCATTTATTGGTAGTAGTGGTGATGTAAGCTAACTGTCCCGTCATTATCTCAATCCCAACATGCCAGTTCAGTTTTATGCGTGGAGTTAAGGTTACAAAGCCTTCATGCAAACTACACTTCCAATCCACAGGCAACCGAAAAAGGGGGGCAAACCTGGCTCTGCAAACTACGAGTCTGACGAGGAGGAGTCTCTTCCCATGTCTTATGATGAGAAGCGGCAGCTCAGCCTGGACATCAACCGTTTGCCGGGTGAGAAACTGGGCCGCGTGGTCCACATCATCCAGTCGCGTGAGCCCTCGCTACGAGACTCCAACCCAGACGAGATCGAGATCGACTTTGAAACGCTCAAGCCTTCCACGTTGCGTGAGCTCGAACGATACGTCAAGTCGTGTTTACAGAAAAAGCAACGCAAACCTTTACGTAAGTGCCTTTCTTTTCCTTCTCTGCAGATGTTGTGGTGGTGCTAGTCTAGGCTTATTTCAGTATTTCATAGACGAGCAGCTCTCTTTTCTTGCCTGGTCCTTCCGCTCTAAAAGCTGATATGGGCTGTGCTATTTCCTCCTTTGAGCTGGGAGCACTCACCTTCTCCAATGTGTTGCATGACTTTTGGTGGATTATCTTATTTGTGCTTTCCCTGGTATTAATACCTTCAAGTGAAGCTTCAAGGGTTTAAACAGTACATCAGTATAAAATAGAGAACATTTGATTAGACCATGAATTTCCAAATTGTACACAGTGTACATGTAATTAATGTGCACACTGCGCTGTTCATACTTCATAAAGGAATATTCCGGGTTCATTACAAGTTAAGCTCAATCGAAAGCATTTTGGGCCTAATGTTGATTACCACAAAAAGCAATTTCCACTTGTCCCTCCTTTTCCAAAAAAATAATTAAAAATTAGAGAGTCAGTTCGTATTTTTCCCATTAGGTTTTAAAAACGTGTTTGTTAAAGAGCTCTAAACCATGAACCAAACCAACCAGCTACGAGGTGAATCACAATATTACAAAAGTTGATGTGAAAAGTATTTGTAAATCAGAGAAAAAGACAATGGTACAAATCTGTGTACTTTTTTTAATGAGGGAAAGAACTACAGGTTACTCTTTATTTTAAGGTGTACTTGTTACAGTTATTATACAATTAAGTACTGAGTTATATTAATTAACCACGTGTACTTAGACCAGTTTTGGCCTTTCAAACAGCGATGGCGTTTTTGTGGGCGGAGCCTATCTGGTGGCAGAAAATCACTGTTTTTAAGTAGCAGTGTATGGAACCCATTGAATAAGAATAAAAGAAGGTAGTTTTGAATTAATATTTCAAAATTCTGCCTTTTTTCCCCTCACAATTCTGATAAGAAAAATCAACTCGTCATTCTCTCTTTTCCTCTCGGCTCAGAATCATGAGATTATAGCCCACACTTCTGGCTTTTTCCCTCAGAATTGACAAACTTGCAATTGTTGAGTTAAATCGAGTTATAAAGTCCGAACTAGGACATAAACTTGCATTTGCGAGAGAAAAAAGTCAGAATTGTGAGATAAAATAGGTAAATGTTATGTAAAATGTTATAGGTTTAAAGAGTGTTTCATGCTGTAACTGTAGGGCTGATAAAATATGTCCCCTATGAACTGCATATGTGAATATTATTGTTTAAATCAAATTTATGCTTTTAAAGTAGGGTAATCATAGCAGGTTTCATCCCTCGTCTGTCCATTTCAATGTCTGCGTTTAGTTTCAAATGGCGTCTTTGATGACAGTATTGTATAAAAAGATTTGCATTCCGATTCTGACATCCAAAGGCACAACTATACATAATTTTCTCTTATTTCATGGATTTTACCCATTTCCCTCCACTTGTTACCAGTTGTTTTCTGCCACCACAATGCACGTGCAGCTGCAAGTGACGTAACTGTGACGTCTACTCCAAATTGGCCGATAGGGTTAGGGTAGGTTTTGTGTTTCATTTAGGGATAGTTGCTTGTAATTATGCCTTTTTTACTGTTATTACTATAATAAGTATATGTAACAATGACACTCTAAAATAAAGTGTTACCAAACTACAATCCCATGATCTACAAGCAGGCACAATTATTACCTGAAAATATGGCATCAGTGGATCAACAGTACCAATTTTATGTTGTTTAAAGTTATATAATTAAATTTGACTTAAGCGTAAGTCAATACAATGCAATAACATTACAGACTGAAGCATTGTGAATGATATGATCATGTATGATGTTGATTATGTATAGAGACAACACATTTCAAGTTGATTGCAAAATTAACTTGCATACCTTTGAGAAGTTTGAGAGAATAAGAACTTTGACTCTATTGCGTCCTTTGTAATGGATGGAAGCTAAAGTGCTTTTTTGACTATTTGTTTATCGCAGTTCTCTAATGGGTGCAGATTACTTTGCAGAATCATGGGTAATGTAGTTTTTCACCAAGAATTCCACCGTTAAATATTATTACTAAAAAACAATTTGAAATAATGCTGGCTGATGGCTTCAACAAGAGCATATGCCATCCTAATAGTTTTCTATAGTTCTTTTTAAAGGTTTATCATTTATCGTTAAAAATCGGTTCCTCAATGGGGGAAAATGTAGATGTAAACAATGTGTTAGCATGGTTTTAGTGTGAAGAAATTTAAGTTAAAGTTTAAAGTTATATTAAATTTCACATGTATAACAATGTCATAAACCCTCAAATAAACTATAAAAATTATGAGCACTTTCAACTTCTGTTAAAATTGTTGTATTATGTAATTGTTTTATAAAATAATCCCATTTCTTTTAAATCCTGCAAAAAAATGTCCCCCGTTCACTTCCATTGTTGGTGCCTAAATGGACCTTTGTTTTTTTGAGGGATGAGGCTAAATCGTTTTTATGATAATAAACAAATGCTGCCATTTGGGCTCATCTTGCATTGAACCCCATAGATTCCTTTAACATAAATTTGTCGTCATGGAGTTAAAAACCAGTGTAGTAGAGTGCTTTTTGCTGCTTGTTGCCACGGCGGTGGGCTACGAGGGCAACCCGTTACTCACCGGTCACCGCTGTGTGTCTCCTGCAGCGGGCACTGGGAAAAAGAGTGCCAAGTCTAAAGAGGAACTGGTTCAGGAAAAGAAGAAAGAGTTAGAAAAGAGGCTACAGGACGTGAGCGGACAGCTGAACAACAACAAGAAACCACCCAAAAAAGGTACCTGTGTGGTAATGTGTAGATGTGAGCAGACAGGTGACCAAACTGGGTTAGCTAGATCTAGGAGGGCAGGATAAGAAAAAAGAGACAAGGATAGGCTTTTTGCTTCACTAATTTGACTAACTTGATCGAAGGGCCTCTGTCAGACCTTCATATGTAATGCTACTCACACAATGAAAAGGGTTTACAGGGCTCAACAACAAGGATGGACCGCTGGCCTCAGTATTGGACCAATTGATGGGACGCTCTCTTGCCCTGTTGGGTCAGCCAGCCCTATATTTAGCTTTTTCCTCTTTAAAAAGTTGCTAGCAAATTCTGCTTGTCAACTTTAACATGTTAGCTAGATTAAATCTCTTGTTTAAATTGTAATAATATTTAATGGTCTTTGACTTTTAATAGTCTTGGTAGATTCTGGAATAATGTATTTAAATGACAAAACTAACATTTTTATGAATTTATAGTTGTCTTGGAGTTACTGTATTGTTATAATAACTGTCTATATGATGTTTTTTATAAGTTTGCGGTCAGTAATTTATTTATTGTTTTTTTTTCTTTTTTTTGTTAATACTTTTATTCAGCAAGAATGCATTAGCTAAATGATCCAAAGTAACAAAGATGTTAAAGGGTTAGTTCACCCGAAAATGAAAATTCTGTCATTAATTACTCACCCTCGTGTCGTTCCAAACCTGTAAGACCTTCGTTCATTTTTGGAACACAAATTAAGATCTTTTTGATGAAATGTGAGAGCTCTCAGACCCTGCATAGACAGCAACGCAACTGTAATGTTCCCAGACTCAGAAACGTAGCAAGGACATCGGACATCAGTGGCTCAACTTCAGTTTTGTGAAGCTACGAGAATACTTTTCAGCGTTGTTTACATTAAGGAAAAAACATGCACATGCTGAACGTAAACAACGCTGATTACGTTGATTACGTTCTGGGGAAAGTGTGCATATGCGTCATGGTACTCTCCAAAATGGCAGAAAACGGTAACTTGGAGAGAATTATTGTTGAATAAATTGTTTTTGTTTTCTTTGCGCTCAAAAAGTATTCTCGCAGCTTCGCAAAATTGAAGTTGAGCCACTGATGTCACATGGACTGTTTTACCGACGTCCTTACTACGTTTCTGAGACTGTGAACATTGCAGTTGCGTTGCTGTTTATGCAGGGTCTGAGAGCTCTCACATTTCATTAAAAAGATCTTAATTTGTGTTCCGAAGATGAACAAAGGCCTTATGGATTTGGAACAACATGAGGGTGAATAATTAATGACAGAATTTTCATTTTGGGGTGAACTATCCCTTTTAACTGCTCATCAAAATATTCTGTTAAGAAAAAAAGTAAAAAACAAAAAGGGTTTTCCACGGAAATATTAAGCAGCACAGCTGTTTTTTCAAAATGGATAATAATAAGAAATGTTTCTTAAGCACCAAATCATCATATTCGAACGATTTGTGAAGGATCATGTGACACTGAAGACTGGAGTAATGGCTGCTGAAAATTCAGCTTTGCCATCACAGGAATAAAATATATTTTACAATACGTTAAAATAGACATTTTTAAATATTTCTCGATATTACTGTTTTTACCATATTTTTTTAATCACATAAATGCAGCCTTGGTGAGCACAGGAGACTCCTTTAATAAAGATTTAAAAAATCCCACTGACTGTAAATTTTGTAACAGTAGTGTATATAGGTATTTTGTACATATTAAATAAAAATGTAAAATTAGAATTAAAAAATGTCTACAGGTTAATATTAAATAATACATTTTTTATATTTATTTTAATCATGTCAAGGTTTTTTTTAGTGTAGGGGCCAGTAAAAGTATTGACATAAGAATTATAAATCTGAACTACTGGTAGAAAAAAAAATCCTTGCTGTCGAGCCCTGCTTTGGACAAGTCATTACATTTGGTTAAAACTGCTAGAGAGGCTAATAACTGATCAAAGTGGTTGTGTATGTGCTGTAACTAACTGACTTCACTTGATATCAGCTGCTTTGGTGGGCGCATAATATATATTGTGTCCTTTCGACATCAGTTCTTTGCTTTCTTTGTGCATGTCTCTGCTTTATCGTAATACACAGCTGCAGGTGTGGGTAAAGCCCTTTAAGATAACAATATAGGGACAAAGGTCTTAACGGAAATGAGTTGTATACAATATGTCCATTCAGCGTTTGCTTTCCTCACACATATTGAACATTGCGATCACTTCTCTTCCCTGTTCCCAGCAGAGAAGGCGGGGTCAGCGCAGGGGGGCGGGCCATCTCGGCTGAGTGGCAGCAGCAGTTCTTCAGATTCGGGCAGCAGCAGCTCCAGCGGCTCCAGCTCCGAGAGCAGTGACTCAGACTGAACAATCGGCGCGTCACATACTTCAACCTCCTCTATTTTCTAACGAGTAGTGTGTGTTGTCATGATAGTATCTCTCTGAAGGCCCATTTTATAAAGAGCTAGACGCATTGCAGATGGCAGAGGATATTTTAAAATAGTTTGTAGGATGCTCTTGGCTCAGACAAAGAGGAGAGTTGGAATAGTTCAAGCAGTTTTAAGGTTCTCGCTGGCCCTCAAAGGGAAACGCCTGGTATCACCAGAGGAAAAAAAAAAAGACAAAAAAGATATTTTTTTGAAAATACGTCGGTTGTGGAGGTGAAACGGTTGTGTGTGTCCGTTGCTTTTTTTTCTTCTTTTTTAGGTTGCTGCTCGTTAGATCCATACTGAAAACATGCGTTAGTGGAAAAACTGACAAATGCCTGGCTGCATTTTACTGATCGAGTAGCTACACAAAGTCTGAAGGAACAAACAATGAATTATCGGCTCTCACTCCGGTGTGGTTCTGTCATGTTGGCATGACTTTTCAGCTCATTCCACATTTCTTTTGCTGACTATGATAATACTCGTCATTGTTACCATTTTTAAGAGAATCTATTTATTTTTTTTAATCCAAAAAGGCACAAAGTTATGTGTTTTCAACAGAAATGTTTCCAGTTGACCAGTTTAAATGTAAGAAATTTGGCTCAACATAACTCACTAGTACTCTAGGCCGCATCTGGAAACTGTCAGTATCATTATTAAACCGTTTTTAGAGACTTCGCAATCATTTTTGGCTATTTCAAAACTGTACATTTTCTCTTCCGGTGCCGTCAGCTCAGTATTTGATGTAGAATTATGTCTGAATTTTTAATCTATATCATACGCTCATTTGTTTGTTTTCTATTTGGATTGTCTTCTACTTTTTTTTTACTATTAATTTGTAGGCGCCCTGAGTATCTCATTTCCTACTTTCTATCTGATATGCCTCATCTTTACGAAGTCCACTCATAGGACAATCAAAGTTGTGATTTAAGTTCAGTATATAAGAAATGGGGGGTATATTTTTCAAAAATGATTGCAAAAATACATTCAGAAATTTAAAAACGCCCATAAGGCTGCAGATTGGAATGAATCAGCCTCTATGAAACTCCTCCATGGGAAACCCAAGTGCATACTAGCTCTATTGGACAAATAGCCACTTAGAGGAGATCTCCGTTAAGAAAAGACGTTAAGTTCTCTTTGACAAGATATCAAGCAGCTGTGCTAGATGTCATTTCAGAAGGATGTGTGTTTGACAATAGTTACTTTTAGTTGAAAGTATTACAACTAATGTATGTTCTCAATTTTAATAACTTTATTTTACTTTAGTTTTTCTTCAAATGGTGTATTGAATGCTTTCAATGGTACCTAGACACTTCTTGCCATGTATCCAGAATAGTTTGGAAATGGACCATGACTGATAATCTTTATAAAAAATATGAATGTATTACGAGGTTATTTTTTCATTTTCTTCTTGTGGCTGCAGCAATGCCACTCATTCACTGGGTTTGTAGCACTGGCAAGGTTTTATTTCATTTAACAGCCTTGAATTCAACTCTGAACCCTTCAAAATCATTGGATGTGCTCTTGTTGCCTTAAGTTTAGTTGGCACATTAAAATAAAGTCAGATTGGTCCGGTGTAACTGATCAAGTTGAAGCCAATGTGGTTTTTTTTTGTTTTTTTTTTAAATCATGAAAACGCATCAAAAAATCGTGATGTAAAGTGACTTCATTGGTTTTCTTATATGTAGGATGCTTTTAAATATGGTTTGATTTTATTCATTATACCACTGTATTGCATTACATGTGCCTTGTGTCTATAACTTACCTTGTCTCTAAGGTGATTTCTGTTACAGCTCCTCTTCCTCAATTCCTCCAGCAGAGCCCAGTAAATAAAACTGATCTTCATGATGCAGACAAGAGATATAAAGATATATAATTACAGATATAAATGTATATTCACTACTTATTCGTCAACTCTGTCTTGGGTCTAAGTATTTTAGTTCTTTTTTTATGAGAGAGAGAGAGAGAGAACATTTGTGTATTGCATGCCAATTTACAGTATATTTCTTAAACTTTTCGAGCAGTTTATAACATGTAAATGTCATTCTTTCGAGTAAAATGTTTAAATTGGTAGCGCTGCATATGTTAAGTTCAGCAAGTTAAAGCAAGTTAAGTATGTTTTGGCACAGACTTACACGGTAATATCTGATGTATAAACTAATCTGAGATTTGGACACGGAGCCCCTCGTTTTTCGTTAATAAATCACAAAAACCCATAGGAGTGTCTTTTTACTATCTAGATATATTTATTGGAGTGCACTTAATGTTTTTATATTTTTTTTTCTTTCTTTTTAGAAGACATTAAAATTAGTACAATGAAAAATACTGTCTTGCGCAGTGTACTGAGGTCTAGTTGTCAAAATGTACCAACTTAAGTTTGTAAACCTCATTTAAATCTTGATTTAACAAACATTTTTATATTTTTGGAGGCTTCAAAGCTCCATACAAGGAAACATAAAAAACATAAATACTTAAAAGGTCTATTAGTAGTGTATTATTAAAATCTGTTGGGTCTTTTTAGCAATAACATTTTTTCTTTTGCGACGAAAAAAAAAGTAGCCTAGTAATATTGCTACCAGCAATAACATACTTTGAAAAGATTATATGGAGTTTGTTAAAGTGGGGCATCCAATGATATACATTTTGTGTTCACTTTTAATCTGGGTTAAAATTTAGATTTTCAATTGGTTAAACTGAGTTTTGGTACTCGTTAGTCTGTAACTATAATAAACAGGTAGAGTTTCTCCAACGATACTGCTGTTGCACTGTATAAATGTTAAAAATACTGTATAATATATTGTTCATGAAGCTCAGTGTAAACATGAGCACCCGACTGTCTGAGTAATGACATGTGGACAGATCACAAATACTTTAAACTTGACTAACACTCAAATGTGTAGCGAATTATTAGTCACAACAAGAATACCGGGATCACATAACAGCACAAATCCGGGACTGTCCAGTGCTGTCGGAGTCTAGTCTTGTTTTGTCCCGTATCACCACTGCCTGGTTGCCGTACCGGCTGTACCAGGAGCTCTGGCTGCGGCTCAGGTAGTTGTTGGGAGGAGCCCTCTCCAGCTCCAGCTGCTGCTGCTGCCAGATCAGCAGCGAGGTGTCCTTGAAGCGCAGCCGCGCGAAGCCCTCCGACAGCGCCTTCTCGGCTGAAGGACAGCGCTCCGTCATTGCGAGGAACGATGAAGGGCAGGCAGACGGCCTGATAGAGCTCTCATGAGGGTGGACATCTCAAATGTCGTCTCGGTTTCGATCATGCCCTTAGAAAAATGTCCCGAGGCAGCAGGTTTGATGAAGGGAGAACAGCGACTTTAAACGCTTGTCTTCACCAGTTGCTAATCCTCACTGCGTTTTGCTGGCGATGTTTTATGCAGTTAGCAATGAACGACCCGCTGATAGTTGAAATATCGAAATAAAGTAGTTTTATGAGAACATGGTCTTCTGTTGTATTCAAATTTGATCAACCGTTCACGGTTTCCTCGTATAATAATTCGAGAAAAAACAGCAGCTTATTAAAACAACGCCAGCGGCTGCCTGTGGCAACAACGTCCGCTTGAATGAGAGTCCGACTGCAACCACGAGAGGTTTAATGGTTCCGAGTGCAAGTTCATTTGCATAGTACATCATTTTTTGATATTATAGTAAAGCATTTAACATTAAACTAAGTGTTTAACAAATGAGATTCCCAATACTTCAAATAATGGGTTATTGAAAAAGTGCAGAATCATTTAGAAGACAACTTAATCAGACATAGAAATACGTTTTTATTTCAAAGCAGTGAGCAAGCTTAAAAAAAGAAAAAAATATATTTAATCCAAGTCTTCATCATCTGACATAAAACGTTAGATAATAAGCCTTTTGTGTATGTGGCAATATGAGCGTGTCTGATCCACCATTGAATCGAGAAAATATGAAGTAATGCAGCAATTAATAAAGATTAACTGTAAAGATCATACAAGTACTGAAAGGTTTCAGTGAATGGTGGATCTTTCGAGGATTTTGTACTCATTTCTTCTTAGGGTCAGAATCAAGCGGCAAACCAATGTCCTTTCCACGCAACTTAAGGCCTAAAAATGAAAAAAAAAAAAAACAATGAGGAAAACCTAAGGAATGAAACTCCTTTGAATTAAAATGTTGAATTTAAAAAAAAAATGAATTAAAATATTTGTTCTGCTCAAAACGAATGCAGTACTTTTATTATTATTTTTTATTACACCAAAGTAATACTAGTTCTTTTAACAAATGTTTAAAATGATCTATACTACCGTTTAAATTTGGGGTCAGTAAGATCGTTTTCCTTTAAATAATTAAAAAAATAAATTCAACTTAAAAAAAAAACATTTCAAATAAACGTTGTCCTTTTGAACGTTCTATTCCACAAAAATATTAGGCAGCACAACTGCTTTCAACACTGACAATGAGAAATGTTTCATGAGCAGCAAATCAGCATATTAAGAGTGTTTTCTGAAGGATCTTGTGACACTGTAGACTGGTGCAACGGCTGCTGAAAACAGTTTCGCCAGCACAGGAATAAATAACATTTTAAAATATTAAAAGTTTGAAACCAAAATAATACTTTAGTTTCACTGTATTTTTCATGCAGCCCTAATGAGTATAAGAGACTAGATTAAAAAAAAAAAAATCTTACTGACCCCACTGATTTTATTCTACATAAATCTATGGTGAATCCATAAAGAGATCACTACAGGCCAAACACCAAATCAACTTTATCTTGGGATTCCCGTTATCAGAAACTTGACTGCAGAATAAATTAAAGTGACACTTAGGCCTACAAATAGGGCATTTCTACTAGGGCTGCACGATATATCGTTTCAGCATCGAATTTCGCGATGTGCGCATCTGCGATACTCACATCGCAGGATGTGCGATGTTTAGTATACTGATCGTTATATTTTTACTGATTGTTTTCTTTGCTCACACACAGACACAATGTCTACACCGGACGCGACAGCTGTACAGAGATAACCGTTTTAAATACATTTAGTAGCAGAGCTACTGCAAGCAATTTTCAATGCTGGAAATCCATTTATCCTTTGTTGAAACTTCCGCGTCGTCGTGGAGAGCGCAGGTCACGGTCACTTAGCAACGGCAGATGCCACGAAAGCCCAAGCTCCCGAGCATTTTGGAAAGAAGGAGAAAGCGGCGCAAATGGCGTTTTCCACACATTTTTTAGGCACGACATGTGAACGGCCCCAAAGTCTGTCTAAACGGGACGCGACAAAGCGACCGTTGCATATCATTTGAACTTTGTGTCAGTACGTCATAAAGAGAACGCGGCATCAGTTTACTGTCGGGATTTGTCGTGTCGCGCCGCATTCAGTTTAGTCAGTCACACAGCATCACTGATTATAATGGGTTCTATTGTATTTTGTCGCGTCGCTCGCATCCAGTGTAGACGCGGTGAGAGCCACGCAGATGCACGTGAACACATTTCTGTTCACTTCTGCGTCTATTTGTGCCTGAAATACTGTGCTCTGCAAGTATCCTTGTAAACACAGATGCTTATGGCTTAGGTGAAGGTAAACAACTGAGAAAGAAAATGGATGTGTGAGAAAATTTTGTCACTTTAACAAAGATTTATTAGATTTAATTTATACAGTGAAGACTTTGCAGTGTTATTTTACATCTGATTATTCAATTTCTGTACCTGAATACTTAGATTTAGGCTACCTGAAAAAAGTAAAGCACTGTTTATTTCATTTGTATCTTTGTTCTATTATATTTATCTATGCTTGTAATTTGTTTATTTTCTATGCTGATTTAATCGTCTACAAAATCACCCCAATCATTATTTTTTTTTTCCAAATAAACTATTCAAGTCATGTGGTGATTTTGTTTTTTCATATAGCAGAAAAATAAAATATAACTGAGAAAGAAAATGGATGCTGAACAGTATATTGGTTCACAATCACAGCAGTTTAATGTTCCTGTTGCGTTCGGTGTCATGAATGTTAATCAAACAATAAAACACAAAGAAAAATCACTTTTGTAGCTTTAACACAGATTTGTTAGATTTAATCTATGCAGTGAAAACTATGCAGTGTTATTCTACATTTGATTATTCAATTTCTGTACCTGAATACTGTTAAACTTACCTGAAAAATATAAAGCACTGCTTATTTCATTTGTATCTTTGTTCTGTTATTTATCTATGCTTGTAACTTGTTTATTTCCTATGCTGATTTCCTCACCTACAAAATCACCCCAATCATATTTTTTTTTCCAAATAGAGCTATATTGAAGTCATCTGATTTTTTTTTCATATCGCAATGAGTTTTTTCCAATATCGTGCAGCCCTAATTTCTACAAAATCACCCTCACTGGTATTAAAATATGAGAGACTGTCTATGAGATAGTGAAGTAAGGTTTAGCAAAATCAAAATCATACCAATGGCTCGCTCAATCTTCCCCATGACTTGGTTATTGGGAATGGCCTTCCCAGATTCATACTCTGCAATGATTTGCGGCTTCTCATTGATTTTCTGCAAAAAACACACAATTATATATAAATGAATACACATGAGTGGGTAAATTAGAGATGAATCATACAGTAAATCTGTAAAATACTCACAGTTGCCAGATCTTTCTGGGTGAGGCCTTTATTCTGCCGGCCCAGCTGGATCACCTTCCCTACTTCCAGAGGCACTCTCTGATGGCTGAGCTCCTCTGTCTCTCTGTCCAACTTGGCTGTGTTCTTGGTCACAACATGCTGTTTGTTTTGTCCAGCAGCCCCTTCGAAGAAGAAATTGTTCATTTAATTCCAGTTGGACAATACATACGAAAAGGTTTTAATGTTCTTACATTTCTTCGATGTTTCGACGGCTTCTCCTTTCCTCTGAGCAGTAAGTATAGCCTGAAACAAAAGTACTGTTTGTAAAGATGTAAAGCGAAACTCCATGAACATCAGTGAACAGCTTTTATTAGGCTTCCACCACGTTTCGTACCCTGACTAATTCGACGCGAATATTTCTGCTCCATTTATTCCCAGATCGATATTTTAAACTTTATGACAGATTAAAGCCATTTAGCACATTATTCGAGGCGAAACACTTAAAAGCTGGTCACAGCAACAATGTGTTTGCCAAGCGTGAACTAATAGCGTCAGCAAACTATGTAACGTTAGCAGATGGCAAAGGTATGGAAATACCTGCTTAGACTTTGACTGTGCAGCCGATCCCTTCTTCTTCAAAACAGTTACGGTATCCCAGTCACTTTCTGCCATGTTGTTGACAATTATTTGCAGAACTGTTTGATTTTTAGGCAACAACAGGGCGTTCAACTTGTCGGGCACGTCCCTGCTCTTTATGCTAGTGAACTAAACCGGATATACGTCAGGGTATGAGGCACATGTCAACAAGCCCCTGTAACGCAGTTTATTGAACAACTGAATTTAAGACAGATTAAAACACAATAGCTTTCTTTGCATATTTTTTAAATACACATACACACAATACGATACAGGTTAATACACGTTATGAATTATCAAAGCTTTTAATTTGCCCTGCATGGCATCTGACGCAACAATATAAAGGAATGACAAAGGTTTTTTTTTTCATTACAAATTATACTTAAATTATATGAAAAAATGTATTCATTTATTTGTTTGTTTATCTGCTTTTTTAGAATGGTTCAAAGAGCATATTTTGCTTCAGTGGATCTATCTATCTATCTATCTAGCTGTCTGTCTGTCTGTCTGTCTGTCTATCTATCTATCTATCTATCTATCTATTTGGCCAAAAGGTCAGTGGTCACAACAAATGGTTAATGTCAAAAAAGTAGGTAACACTTTATTTTGATGGTCCCTTTTGAACATTCTATTGACAATAAGTAACACTGCACCTACATGTCAACTACCTCTCATTAGAGTATTAGTTGTCTGTCTGTATTGTGATGGTTTCCCGACAGACATTCTACTGACTATAAGTAACTTTGCAAGAACATGTCCACTTAATCTAACCCTAACCCTACCAGTCTACAAACACTACTACCACTATAGTGAGACTTTGTAGATATGTAGGTGCAACGTTACGTATAGTCAACAGAATGTGCTAAAGGCACCATCAAAATAAAGTGAAACCAAAAAGTTTTTTTTTTTTCAATAAAATTTTTTATTCTCTTAAAACTTACTCTTTCTTTTCAGGTAAAATATGTTCTTTGTTCATCATATTGTCAATAAATATATCTTTGGAATTTAGGGATTCATTTACATTTGTAAATTAGTTGGTTCAGGCAAACATTACATTTAAATAAAGGTCCAATACATTTCATAATAATTATATTAATACTTGTCAATTAATATGCAGAGTTTACACTTGATGCAGAATTTACACTAAATGTAGGCTAATCTTCAGTCGGAGGGTTTGATTTTGGCCCGTGTCCTCTCTGTAAATAATAGGTGAAAATAAAGTCTAATAATAAAATAGATAAAGGCATGTCTGCTGGAGTTGTATTTATTACTTATGTTGATGTAAAATTTGCCTGAACCTACACATTTAGAGTTTAACTGAATCCTTTTATTACATTCCAAAGATATATTTATTGACTATGAAACTAGACAAAGAACATGAAAACAGATCATTTTAAAACTACAGATCAATATGTAGGCTATTTCCTTAAACTCTTATTTATTTATAATTATTTATTATTGTTTATTCGTTCATTCATTCATCAGTTTTTCATCATGTGTTAAGGTTGTGTAACTGTTCTTAATGCACAATAGTATTTTTGTTTTACCGAATTTGACTTTAATACCTTTAAGAATTTTGCCCGATCTGCAATGGAATTTTGCTCAAATAAACTCTATAAAATGTATGAAGCTTATTAAACAAAAATCAACGCTGTGTCAATAGTGGGCAGTCTTTACATGTGTGTGTATGTAGGCCACAAGAGCATTGCTGGGTTTCTAATAGTAGGCATGAACATGGACTCAGAGACTGACCCCTGCTGGTATTTATAGACTGCTGAGTCAGGGTCAGGAACTGGCAGATCACTGCTATAAGCAAAAGAGGGTGGGGAGACTGTCATCGACAGCTGAGATAGTAAGCAACCATCTCAATAAAAGCTTGATCTCTTCTGTTACACATTTATATAAACATGCAGTAATTTGATCACATCAACTTTCAATAAAGTAATGATTTTCTTCATCTCTCTGTCTCTCATTTTCCATCTGCAGATCATAAAAGCTTTTGAGATAATCTTGAGATTTTCTTGAGATTGTTTAATGTTATAATGTACAAAGTTGTCATCATGTTCCATAAAATGTATTTTATTCATATCACATCCGTTGTAAGTGTTTATCTCTGCATTCTTAGGCATGAAGAATCCAAAACACACACCCACACACACACACACACACACACACACACACACTTGCATACATACACATTCACATGGTTTAAGTTGACACAAAATTAATAAATTCTGTTCATAAAAGATGTAGAACTTGTTTGATTTGTGTATCTTTTTTCCCCAATCTGTACAACACTATAAGATGTTTGGTTTACAATAATCATGTATAAAATTCATTGAAGGGATTCATTTATTTCCAGAAGGCCCATACCATACATAACATTGCTGTGGAAATCATACAAAATGGCACATCTGAGGCTTGCAGCGATTGGAATTAAACAACATAAAATTTCATATAAACAACATTGCAATTTTTGGTAATAGTGAAAATTGTGCTTGAAATGTTCAGTTTGAATGCTTGAGTAGTTGTATTAATATAAATGTGATGCATTCAGAGTATCATGAAATGTCAGTACAATTGTATTTAAACTCCAGACACCCAAACTGTCCATAAAATCCCAAATTATCTGCGGTGGTTTCATTTACAACTTTTTCTCAAATGCATTGTAAATAGTCTGAAAATTATATACAATTCCAAGAAAATAGAAATCTGAAATGACTCATTATGCTGCTTGATATAGTCCCTGAGCAAATGTTTCGCTCACTTACTGTGATCAGTAAAATCCATCAGCCGATTGATATAAATCACATATACTGATTTGGCCTTCATCAATGTTAGCAATAAAAAATACTTGCATCAACATCCTTTCTTTTAAAGCGAAAGGAAAAACTGTGCACCTGATGCTTTTCCAAAGCATTTCTCCAAACTTTATATTGCTTTGGCAGAAATGGAAGAAGAAATGGTCAGATCAAGCTTATGGATGTGTGCTGCTTAGGTTAATGTTTTTAGAAAAGTACATGTTTCTATCGCATGGTTTTTAGAATAGATGTAGGGCACTTAACCTGAACTGAAAAAAAAAAAACACATACGGCGACTTTTGAAATCCCTCAAAAGACAGGTACTGATCAGTAGAGGGGGCTCCAGTTGAATGTTCCTATGGATATTAGATTCTGGCAAGTGTTGGAAGACAGCCACACCATCTCCACTAAACTGTAATGAAGGAATCCTAAGGCAAAGCCGCATCCGACATCTGTCAGATGGTGGCGACCCAGCAACACACGGGACATGCCAACTAGGACTGCCCATAACACAAGCAAAATACGCAGGGGAACTGCAAGCACCAAGTGTGCCAACAGGAATTTAGATACCATGACTGCTCGGCTTGCATGGGCTGCCGGGAAAGAATAGATGTCCATGGCCAGGTAGTCGAGGAAACTGGGTGCCATTTCCCATGGCCCTTTGCGCTTCACCAACTTCTGCATGCCTGCTACAGTCATCACATCCAGTAAGAGAGCTGTAAAGCAATGACATTTACATTATTAAAGCAATAGCAAACTCACAAGAATGTTTATGGCCACAAGTCATCACACCTGTCATGATATACAGCTATAACACACTCTTATATTGCTATATTGCTGTGTTATATTGCTTTTACATAACAAATAAGTAGAAAAATCAAGGAATGTTCCAAAGTCCCTCTACTTTCTTATGTCACAGATTCAAATTTGTTGTTGCTAGTTCAAAAGCTGTGTCCAATGTATCTCTATTACTAATTTGAAAACATCACATTAGAACTAACTAAACGACTTGAGCCGTTTGTGACAAGAAAAAATCAGAGCCACTTTAAGGCGAGCCTCCAATTTTGAGCAAAAAAAAATGTAAAGTTGTGGTGAAACAGTGAAAAAAAATTTGTAAACTTTGCGGGATAAAAATCTATGCAATGAATAGCTCACAGAAAGTCACTTTCAAACCAGGATGCTTTCGGATGATCAACGTGGCAAATTCATGAAAACTTAAAACCATGGCAAAATCTGCATGAGGAAATCTTTCGCCCTCACTTGAAATTCCTGATGACATGGATTTCCATTGAAATGACGTTGCTCATGAAAATTTGCAGACAAATGTGAAAACACCTTAACGCTGTGGAGCACTGTGGAGGAGACAAAAGTACCGTTTTTTGCGGATGTCAATGGAGGACAGACTAGTATGGTGAATAAATTGTTTTTGAGAGGAAAGAGCTTATCTCTTAATTAATATTTGCCATTAAACATTTGTTTAAACACTGATTAATCCACTTTTAGGCTTTACAAAAAAAAAAAAAAAAAAAAATGAGCAACAATATATAAGTGCAAATGACAAGTCTCGGTTAGCCTAACGCAGTACACGTAGCAAGGTGTGTGTGTGTATATATATATATATATATATATATATACACAAACAAAGAAAAACAAGTAGAATAGAAAGCTAGAGTTTTTTTTTTTTTTTTTTTTTTAAAAAAAAAAAAAAAAAAAAAAAAAAAAACTAGAAGATTATAAGAGAAGTCACAGCCAGTTTTGTGAGAAGTAGCACACATAATCCAAGCTTACCTTTAAGCTTTCTCCATGGTAGAGCTCAAGAGGTTGGTATCGTCCCATAATAATAGGAACATCTTTGGCAAGACTGATATTTCAAGGTTTATATTTGACACATGCGCAGAGCGCAAGACTGCACTAGTAAGTGTAATCAAGCTTGAAATCGTGATCACCAAAGAGACTGCTATAAAATAAAGATGTACAACACAAAACTGACTCAATCACTGCAGAGAAATTGATTAAACCACTGGATTACTTTTACATTACAATTATGAGTTTTTTGGAGCTTCAAAGTTTTGGTCACCATTCACTTGCATTGTTTGGACCTACCATGCTGAAATAATTTACTTCAAATGTGTTCTGAGAGCAAATAAAGTCATGCATCTGGGATGGCATGAGGGAGAGTAAATGATGAGAGATTATAATTTTTTGGGTTTCAGTTTCAATTTAGTTTTGTTGAAAGAAAGTGAAATTAAAGGAGTAGTGAAAATAATAAATTCCAGAGTAGCTTTTCATTATGTTTGAGTGTAATGAACTAGTCACATGCGGCTGTCAGTCAGAACACATATCCTT